CACTCATAACATCATCCTCCTCACGTGAGCTCCAATGAGCTCATCTTTGCTGAGGATAGTGACTTCCGGTCGTTGACATATTTACTGATAAAGATGCTGGCTGACCCGCAGACTCCTGATTCCCATCACCTGGATTGGCTGGGTGCATTTCTATTTTGGTAATCAGCTCAAGCACACAATCCAATTACATGGCAGTTACTGTGGGGCCCTCCAGATGGGGGACCTGCCTTCAAATGACCTGCAGAGAAAAAAGATGCTACACTTGGCACATTCAATCCAAGGTTGTTGGGTTTTTTTCCCCCACTGCCTTTTATTATTGTCAGTTGTTTTTTAATCTGCTTAACAGCTCATTGCATTGTATCTGAGTGATTTGTATTCCGAGGACTTTAAATTAAATAGACACACCACTGAGTGTTTTAATTCGGTGAGTGCATTCAGATCTTGTTCCTAAACAGCTGATTATGGGCAGTAAAAGAGGCCGAACATTTAGAGTATACTTGGAACAAGACAAACAAAAATCCATTCTTGTAATCGCCATAAAGGTCCATCTTGTTTGGAAAATGCTGCTTCTCAGAGGAACGACACGATGTCTGCTGAGTTTGTACAACTGAAACTCCACATTTTAATTACAGACTGTGGTTTTCTGTTAATCATCAGTAATGTAGGCAAAAAAATGAATTCGAAACACAACAACACAGTGACTCAATAGTGCTCATTTTGCCTGACCAAAGCCAATAAACACATATTCTCAATTTTTAAAGAAAATGAAATTGACAGAAAATACACAAACCTTCACTTCTGTCTTTTGGTTTGTTGTTGTAGTTATGTGTGAGGTGCTGACCCGGCCCCAGTGCTCCAGGAGATCCCTCACTGGTAAACCAGTCTGTGCCTGTTCGATGCACAGGGTCACCTCTTTGCAGCGCTTGTCTTTGAGATTTTAAAGGTGTCCTCAGTGAGCTGTGGTAAACGAGACTTTTCCTGCATCTCTGCAGGACTATTTACCTTTGGAGGAACATCTTTCAGCTCTTAATAAGATTTGGAGCCCTGGGAGCCGAGATGAGGCAATAATCATTATGACTGAGTGTATACCTCAATAAAAAATAAAACTATTATAGCATAGTGTAAGCTTTGCAATTTTAATTATACCAGAGAACACAACAAACAAACGCCTGCGCCTAGTGGCATGCTGGTTGTGTATACATATATATATGTTGTGAACACAGCAGCACTTAAAAATGCGCTTTTGAGATTTCTCTCACTGAAGCTAGTTTAGTTTTTATTGTGATAGTAGCGCACACAAAGATAGCCTCGGCCAAGATAAACACTGCTGTGAAATTTCCATGTCGACACATGCCCGATTTGAGGGAATATCTCATTCATGTCTTAGCAGAGGAGTTATTTTTCTATCTGTGCGAATCAAACGATAATTACCTGCTCTGCATTCTGATTTGAAACATATGTTGTTATCCATCAAAAGCTGTTATTTTTGCTGTGGAAAAGAAAAACAAAAAATCTGTTTTTAGACAATTGCCTGCATTCGAGCCCCTAAAAGTGCAGCCATGTTTTGCCTGCCAGTTAACAGTAGGATCACTTGTCGTATTTCCCATTTTGTGTGTTATTGTCCAGCTTTTTTTTGCACCTCTTCTGGATCTAAACCTCAGTCTGTCACGTTTAGACAATAGGTAGAAATGGTAAATGAGCCCTCAGTTTCAGAACCTTGTCTCTAATCTTTTATTTTATGCATAGATGGTGTCTCTAGCTGCCACATGTAAAGCAAACTACATTATGCCACATCTGATTTAGTGTTGTTCTATGCTAAATCAACCAGAAGTCACGATCCCCTTGTGTATTTTTCTGCACTTTCAAGGCAGAATCACCCTTACATGGCCTCTGATTGAACGCCGAATGAAACTGGATCTGTGAAAAAAGGAGAAAAAAAAAAAAAAAAGGACAAGCACTCTGGGAGTTGCACAGCCTGCATGCCTTTCGCTCAATGGGGCACTCGCTGGGACATTTCCTCAGTGGAGCTTTTTTAAAAGGGGCTTGCGCTGCAGTTCCAGCTAAGGGCAGTACAGTGGGTCAACTGCCGATAGAGTTACAACCTCTCTTTTGTTGAGGTGTTGGACAAATTAGACCTCACAACTGTTTACCCAGTCATACAGGGACAGCTGCATGTCTCCGCCCTCCAAAACCTGTCACCGACTGTTGTTCCATTGGGGAGCCATCTGTGTGGAATAAGCAGGCACAGTGATCAAATGATTGTTCAACAGTTTTACCTCTGTCACTGCTGCTGCTGGGGGGTGGAAGGAGGATATGAATGGCCCCTTAACTGAATAAGCATTATGTGATCCAGCTGCAATTCTGTACTGTTGTTCTAATGAGAGCTAAGTAATGGCACATGATAAAATTAGTGCTTTTCTGTCAGTGGGTAGGAGCAGCTTTAAAAACAAATAACAGCTAGATGTTTTATTTTACATCTCCTCGACTTTTATTTCCTGAGGAGGATAAAACTGGTTTAATGAACAGGGTCTGCTGCGTGTGTCATCACTGGATAAATCGGTGTAAAGACTTTTTCTTTGAGCTTTTCCATGATGAAAAGATTAATTTAATTGTACTGCTAATGATGCAGAAAATATACTGATATCTCCATTCGGGCTCTTTGGATGCTGCCATTGTTATTGGGGGAAGCTTTAGGATTTGACATGATAAGCCCATCAGGATGAAGCATATTTACACAAAGTCAGAGATTTGAAGTGAATTTGTAATGCTGTTAGTTTGTGGTTTAACATCTCTGCTAGTCGGAGAATTTAATATGAAAAACAAGGTGAGGCTTTTAACATTTTACGAAATAATGCAAATTACAGATGATTTTATTGAGTCAGTTTGGTTCCTTTATAGAACTGTCTTGATTAATGGTGTCTGGGAAGTTAATCATTTTAAAAGTTAAATGTCATTGGTTTAATTTGCCAATTAATTAATGGTACATTTCTTTTGTTTTTGCTGCCACAGTGTCGTGAGTTGCCTGTGGATTCTAATCAAAGCTACAGTTGCAATTAAACAAAATGCCTTGTATAGTATAATCTATGAATACTGATAGGAGTGTCTGCGAATCTCACAGATACTAGAAAATGTGAGATTCATTACTTGAGCTGCAGAACACAAACCACACCAAACACGCAGTGACTACTAATCCAAAAATAAGAATTTCCACAGACAATTTTGTTAAAAGAATCTCTCGAGGGCTCCGCTCTGTATTCTTTGGCTGTATTTTGTTAGTCGAGTCTCTGCAGCACAAAGAGAATCACCAGAATTCATGCCTGTTTGGAACAGTATTGATCTCATCACCCTTACCGCCTCTCCAGAGTCTTTTGTGCTCAGGCTTGCTTAGCCTTCACATTCTTTATAGCGCGGGGAGATGAGAGCTGCAGATGTAAGTGTTAATTATTTGCCTACATGCAGTGAGTTCTGAGGGGACTGTGAGCGCAAGATTTTCAGTAAACTCCTGGTACTGGTTCATCCTCCTATTTATTGCTGCCCAGCTTATGATACCAGTTTATTACACAGCTTTTGTGGGGTTGCAAGTTCTTTACTTGGGAATTAACATATTCATCATGTGCAGTTGATACCTTTTTTTTTCCCCCCCGCAGAACAGATGGATCCTTAAAGGTGGTGATTCTGTAGAACGATTTTTCTTTTTTTTAATATTTTGCTAGCTGATATATTTAGACAGTTGTCATGTGCCAGATTTATTGTTCATCTCGCTGCTTTGTCCTGTGCACAAGCGTGAACATGCACAGAACACACTGGAATAATGTTTTATGGATTGCCTTTTTTTTTTTAACCATCGACAGAGCCAAGGCTGTACACAAACATTTTTTTTTCATACAGAATGGACAGCTAGTGGACCATAAGGAGATATTCACTGAATATGACAAGAAGTGTATTGGATTAAAATGACGTTCTTCACCTTTAATGCTGTTGGCACCACACTAGCAACAGTGGCATGTACGGCATATGAGGAAAATGAAGCTATTTAATGCTGTGTGGTACACAGTAAGCTGAGACGAATACTGAAGAGTAATAATGGAACTAATGCAGCTGCACATTGTATTTAAATAGCATGTGTTATTCACAAGGGCACCTCAGTGTGCTTAACAATATAAAAAATAAAAAAGTTCCACTGCATAATTTCTATGTAGCATATAGCAAATTAAAGATGTTAGCGCGACCTCTTTTCACAGTCATCCACCCACGACTAAAACGCAAACGACAAATTGATGTTCACATTTTCCTGCAACTCGTAATGAGTTACTGTTGTATTTTAGCACGAAAAGATTCACTAATTTGCATGTGAAATATAAAAGGCTCTTCAGTGTCTATGTTGCTCTGCAGTTTGTCCAAAATTAGATGCAGCTGGGACCTCCGCAAGAATGTTGTATTTATTTGCTAAGAGATATGAAACACGATGACCTTTGGGCCATGGTGTGTAAGCAAACACAACAAACTGGTGTTCTCAGGAGACATACACTGGTTCATTCATGTATTTAAGCTCTTCTGTTAATGCAAGATTACCATTGTGCTCTTGAGTTGAAAAGGCACGGCTCCATAAACCACGCGGGGGTGTGTGAGGCCAGCTACTCCTTATTTATCAGCAGTGACACTATCAGCAGTTCCTTGTGAAAAGAGAGCCAGTCATTCAGAACAGTGGGGCCACCTTGGCTGTCAAAGCAGGATTTAGGCTACATTTCCCATGGTTGCCATGACGACTGTGGGAAGTGATTATGAAGAGAGGGTTTCAGAGCAGTGCTGTCACACCAGTGGGTATTACCATAGTGGTTTGCACAGTGATCATCAGAGAATTACTGGCTCGTGATCAAACGATTTTTTTTTGTGTTGTGTCCAATGAAATGCTATGTTCTGTGATGGCAGAGATGTAGCACTGTTATTTCTGTGTCTGACTTGTTAAGATTAATATATCTTCTTTTCTCATTTCTTTCTAGGACAAAATGTGGTTAAATGGGACAGGAACGAGTAGACGGTGAGGATTCTCTAACCCTTGTCCCCGAGTCCCAGCCGTGTAAGAGGGTGTCGGACCTCACTGAGGCAATCCTGGGCCGTTGGCACTAAAATGTCCCTAAGTGGTGGCACTGCAGGCGGGAAAGGTGTGGACTCTAATGCGGTGGACACTTATGACAGCGGGGATGAGTGGGATATCGGTGTTGGAAATCTGATTATTGACCTTGACGCTGACTTAGAGAAGGACAAACTTGAGATGTCTGGCACCAAGGACGGCATGGCGGCACCACCCAGTGCAGTGGCAGCATTGCCTGACAACATCAGGTTTGTTAGTCCAGTGTCTGGCTCTCAAGGCAAGGAAAGCAAATCCAAATACAAGCGCAGTAAGAACTCTAAAGACAATAGTAGCAAAGCTTCAGCTGGAGATGGGGGTAAAAAAGAAACTACAGGACGGACTCAAGGGGAGCCAACAGGCACAGCAGCAAGTGCGGCAGCTGCTGGCAACAATTCCACCTCTGGGAAGAACATGGAAAAAGGGGGCAAAGCCTCCAGAGGTGTTCTCGGTGGTAAAAAAGAGAAAGAAGGGGCGAGTGGGAAAAGTAAGAAGGACAAAACAGATGGCGCCCCAGTCGTGGCAATAGGTGTCGCAGAGAAGGATGTTGTGTCTCAAGCCCAAGTTGCTTTGGGGAATAGTCGTAATACGTCCTTTGAGAACACACAATCAACAGACTTGGCTGATGCCAATCAAATGGGGAATATTGCACTTGAACCTGTTGGGATAGTACCAGCACTGACCACAAAAACTGAACCGGAGGACGTGGAGAATGGTAATAGTGAATGCAAGACGTTAAAGAAGGTGAAAAATGAAAAGGTACGTTGTTTTCCATTTCACTCTCTTTTGATGTTGCATGGATGTGTTGGGTGTTATGTTACATGTTTACCGACTACTCTGGGAATATATGTGTTTGTCCACGGAAATTAATTAACTATTAATTCCTGGTTTTATTGGGGAGCTCCATTACTGTACCAATCAGTAGTATGTGTAAAGTCAACGAAAACTATTTACAGGTTTAAACAGATTTAATATTTTTATCAAAAAAGCAAATTATTTTGGTGAATGATCTCTTACAACAAACCCACCACATACATTGTTCTGTATGAAATGATCTAGTGTTGAATTGTGTCCTGAACGCTGTGTTTTAACCAGCCGTAGTTGCTGAATATGTGATAATGTGTTAGCAACGAAAATAGTCACCGCAGTTGTTAGTTTCTTTTTTGGAAGAAGCGTCTTTGAAACAATACTGGCTTTCATCAATTTAATTATCGTGGCATGAAGTAATACAATAGGCCCGAACACTGTAGGCCGCTTAATATCGTGCGTGTGATCGCCTGTTGCTGTTACAAGCAGGCTTGGAGAAGCTGTGCATTCCCTGAAGCAGTCTGACATGTGATGCATAAAAAAAGACCTACTGCTGTTTTCTCTTTTATTACCACACGATGAATAAGGGCACCCTTGACGAATATGATGCCGAGACCAGCTACAGGAAATGGCCCACACAGTGCTGATGTTCTTTTCCCTTTTTGACAGCAGCGGCTTGATCCGTTTTTAAAGGATGCATAATTGTGTTTGTATATTTAAAATTTCTTATGCCGTTTAAATTAAATTAATGCCAACCAACATCAGTTGCAATTATCCATGAAGGTGTTATGTATTTCACATGAGTCAGTAAAGCACTAATAGCAGGCTCGGATATATAATAGACACTGTCAGCCATATACATCACATTACGCCTGCGAAGTTAAGTAAATGTCACATCGTGTTCCACTTTTTTTTTTTCCTTCAAATAATTTCACTGCTGACATTGTCATACAAGAACAATATAAAGATCCGTGTAGCTATTCACCCACACTTATCTTGTTCACTCACAGAGTTGATCTATCACTGTGTCTATTGTATGCCTCATAGCAGCCTTTTCATGCTCTTGCGGTATAAAAGACAGCAGAGCAGGGAGGTGCTGAGGACTGTTTTTGTCTGTCATCGTGTTCCATTCTTAATCCCACAAGCCCCAGCAATGCCTGGTGGAGCAGTGTGTGGGGGAGGGAGCTGGTGCAAAGCACGCCTTCGTCGTTTTTCCTGCTGCTCTGAAAGTGGCGTGGGGGATGGGCTGCGAGGAAGCCTGTTTGATTCCTTAAATCCAGGACACCCAGTCATGAACACAAGCTGTACAGCCTCCTTGGGCTCACTGCTATGAAAGGAAATTTCAGGAAAGTCTTTGTAATCACAATGTATTTAGAATGAAAAGGCTTTTGAGGGAGAACCACATGAATTGGTTGACAGCACTGAATAAAAGGAGCGAGGTCACAACTGCTTTCAAATAGCTAGCTGGTGAAATGTATCCTTGAAAACATGATGGCGACAAAAAGGATGTGATTGCACTGCCGCGTACATCCATTTTGGCTTGAAAAGCAGTTTTTAGGTTAGCAACCCCAGTTAATGGAGGTGTAAAAAAAAAAAAAAACATCAAAAGTGCATTTACCATGAAAAAAAAATAACATCAAAACCAAACAAGGTGTGCATATACCATGTATTTATAAATGACACATAAACATAATCTGTCATTTGTACTGTGTAAGCCAGTTTGTCATGCCTCCTTCAACATGGAGAAACCAATATATCATGACATAATGAAAAGGGAAAGAGCAAGGTGAAGTGCAGCAGGGGCAAGAATGGATCAACCTGGTGTTGAAACCATTGAGGTTTATGATAGCTACTAATGCACATTTGAACAACCACAGCCTTGTTTTTTTTGGAAGAGGTAAAAGGAAAGATTAGGAAATTGAAACCTCAAAAAAAAAAGAGTGGTGATAAATACAGAACATCCCGCATGTAGTTTGCTTACTGGATCCAGATAGGGCTGCAGCTATTGGTTATGTTAGTAATCAAGTATCCTATCGATTAATCCTGAATATTTAAGTAAGTGCATAAGATCTTATTTTTCTTTAGTACGGAGAAACAAGTATAGATGAATATATAAGATAAAAAATGTAGAGTCTTATAAATTAATAGATATTTGATTCTCTTTTTCAAAAATCAACATTTTTATTCCTTGAATTGCACACCCCCGTAACTAAACCGAAGCCTTTGCAGAGTTCAGACAAGATATCAGCTCTCTGGGCAAAGTTAGAGGAGATCCAGAAGTATATTTTGACAGGCAGAATGACAGGCTGCCAAAATATCCTCCACAGTTACTTTGAGGACATCCGTTGAAATGTGGTGGGGATACAAAGAAATGGCACAACACGTGTGACAAAATATCTGACGTTAGCAGATGGATAATTAGACAGCGAGTTGACTGCGTTAGATCGGAGTGAATGAGGTTCGAGGGAAACTAGTCAAGCATTGTGTCAGACAAATCTGCCTTGTATTTAAGCTATTGCTGGTAGCTAAAGCGCAAAATTTGTGTCCGTGTAGCGACGATGTCTCAAAGGCAAGAATGGGAATGTTCAGCAGTGGTGTTTATATGCGCAACCAACGGCGCATGTATGAAACAAAGCATATAGTATAGTAATAACAACTACGTGTCCGTGGTGCCTGCAGCTGTCTGTTTGCGGGTCTGCAAGGGGCTATAATCAAGGCTTAGCACAGCTTCGGTTAACTAGCTTAGCTGTCTTTATGTTGCTTGTTGACAGAAGCTGAAGGTTGCTATACTTGACAAGTGACTTGCTTTCATCTCAGCTAGCAGTCGTGTTGAGATTCAGGTTGCTGTACTTAATAACTACAATAATAACCCGAAAATAAAGAAGAGTTAGAAAGTGCTTTGCTATAAAGTAAATGTCAGTGTAGAGAAATAATTTTAAAAAATCAAACTAAAAACTAAGATTGCAAACATGCAACTTGCACAAGATAAAATCGTTAAGTTAGGTTGAGACAGCGTTTTTATATAACTCATCGACAACAACAGCCGCTGCGCCAAAGTGCCCTCCAGTTAAACGGATTATGACTAGTGTTACAGAAGTAACCTAACAAGACTAAATATGGCAGCCAAGACCCTGAGGGTTATTTAAGGTGTTATTGTACTTAAGTAATTTACATATTAGTGATTAAACCCTACAGAAATGAATTTAAATACTACTTTACTTAAATATTATACATGTTAAAGCTCAGATCCTGCACCATTATTAATTACAGAAATTAGCTTAACTCATGTAATAATATAGCTACATAAATTGCAGAACCTGCCTAATGTAAATATTGTTGGTAAAACCCTGCAGTATTTAATGGAGACTAACCTGACTAATTTACCTCAAACTATTATGATTTCTTCTTTTAAATCTGCACTTTACCAGTCTTCATCTCAACAAGCAGCCATGTTTGTTTAGGATAAATGCTACGACCTGCAGTTCCATCTGCGGCCACTATGCAAAAGTGGCAACTCAGCGCTGTTGCAGTGGGTTTACAAGACGCCATGTAATGCATTGCTTGCTATAAGGAACCGCTGTTGTTAGCTAAAGTGTCAAACATGACATTAGATGGAGTTAGGTAGTAGTATTTATTGTACTTCACTTGCCCTTTAAACTGAAACTGTGCTGTGTCTGTAGTGGATTATCTTAGGCTGCTGCAGGAAAATGAGCTAAGTTTGGCAGCTATGTGGATGCCAGTTCTTCATTGTAGACAAAGCGGGTAGTACTCACTGTCTCCCTGATTGTTTTTTTTTTAATACTAATCTCACTCCCATCTCACTGTCAGGATCAGGGGATCACACTTACTCACTTAAAAGATCTTACACCCTCTTCACATTCCTCCTTCATTTCTTTCCTTTTTCCAGCGACGTGCACAGATTATATGAGGTAAAGTGGAATGTGTATACTTTGAGAGTATTTGAATTTCAAGTGATGCAGCAAAACAATATCTGAGGAAACAGTTGCTCTTGGGATACAGATCTGGAAATTTGTCACCCCAATTACTCTGCAAGAACTAGCATAGTGTAATCCAAGCATTAATCAGTGTGTGTCTTACTAGCAATCTCCTTCTCCATCGTCGAGGTGTAATAGCGTGGCTACATTGTCTGTGTCCTAAGTTAAAGCTCCCCAAAGCACTGGCTCTCAGATCCTGAATAAATCATCTCTACTTCCTTCGTACAAGTGCTAACCACCTCTGAGTGTGTCTCACTCTCCCACCTCTCATTATACAAATCTAGAGGAGTGAGGCATTCGTCAGCTTCCTCGATGTGCCACTGGCCTTGATAAATGGAGTAGCTCTCATGGAAAATTACATTGGCAATGTTACTTTGAAAAGCCGGGAGAGAAAGGAAAAGGCTGCACTTGAATGAAAGAGCACAGCCACCGCTCTGCATTGCTGCTGATGTCCAGCTCGGGGAGAGGAGGGATCTCATGAGAGCTAGCTTGAGTTCTTTCTATTTGCCTGTGCCTGACTGACTGTTGCTATTGTGTTACAGCTCTTTCCTTTTAAGTACTGCCAGGGATTTTAAAGGCTGTGGAACAGAAGAGAGACTGTGACTTATTTTAAGAAGGGGTGCAAATTACAACAAGAAGCTGGCTACTGTTAGATTACCTGTTTCTGTTCTGGTAAAGCAAATTCTGCGTAGATAAGCAGTGATTAAACAACAGGATTAAAGACATTTCATTTTCTTTCAAGTGTTCTTGTGTAGTAAGAAGCACTTGTAGGATTGGTCAAATATGGCAGATGCCGTTTACATCTGGCGCCAGCATGTGTCTCGAGCATTTAGATCTTAACTGAATTTGCACCCTTTGCAGACGTTGGTAATGTAAAAAGCTGTCAATCAAAAACTGGAAACCTGCGTCTGACCATTTCCACAACTGACAATTTGCGCTAGTTGGTGAGCAGTGCGG